CCTAATTTTGGGCATTTTTTGCATATTATTAGCAATAAATAATTGTTTAAAAGAATTTACAGGCACATGGAAATTGTAGGGAATCGAATTCTCAACAAATTTGTTTACCTTTTTTCGCGTAAAACACATAAAATCCAAGATGGCGGACACTTCCCATATCGCAATTGGGGGAAACATTTTGATTTTGTGTTCACCTAAACAGGAGACACCTAACTGCGTCAAACTTCCCGGAATTTTTTCGTTGAAATGATTGGGCTATTTGAACTACATAATACTTCAGCGCCAAGAATATATGTACATATATATACGTGCATACACATGTACATACGTACGAACCATAGTGCCTCCAGGCATATAGCAAGCGAATTCGCACATATATATGTGCATACATACTTGTTAGTAGATCAAACAGCCCATGTACATATTTGTTTTCACTTTGGTCTCCCTTTCTACCATCTACGTATATATATATATATACTCTTACATACGCGGGACAATAGCCCTTCACATCTAAGCGCCAAACTACAGCAAACAGCTGACATAGGCACACACATATACATACCTACTATTTTGTATAATAGGCAAATTAGTTTGATTTTGTTTTTTCACGTTGCTCCCGCGTTCACATATCAAAATACGTACATACATCTTTGCACGAATCTCAGTGCAGGTATCCGCGCATATATATGTATATATATATCTATATATATATATTTCCGTATTTAATTGTTTTAGAGCAAAACAAGTACACCCAATAAATTCAATTGTGCTCAGACGCGCTGAGACAATACAGTGACTTTCAAAATTTTCACAAGTACTCAATTTAAAAAATTTACACAACTAATTAGAAGGAGCACTCAATAAATTAAATTAAAATGACCGAGGAAAAACAAGATACCGCCTCCCTCCAGCCCCCTCAACAGGCACCAACAAAAACACGGGCAAAGTCCCAAACTGACGACGAGGAATTTACCAAAGCTCAGAAAAAATTCCTCTTCGAAATATCTAAGCTTGAAAAATATGGCGCGAAGTGGTGGAAGATTTTGCGAAACAGATCACTCGGAGGCCAGTCTCAAGCTTTACTTGGAGGAACGCAACAAACACTTGTCGTGGGTGGAGAACTCGTACGAAGCGGTATACATGAGCAGCTCGGACGAGAGATCCAGTAAGGTATGCGAGGCAAAATATGACACCGCTGTAGACACGTGCATCAGTACCAGGACGCGCATCAACGAGTCACTTAGCCATCGCCAAGCCGACATGATGGTCGCCAGTAACATTAGCGTTCCGGCAGTACCAGCGCCACCCGAACCCTAAAACTATTTAAAAGTGCCTGTTTGTGACACGGAAACATTTTGCGGAGGATATGAAGACTGGCCGTTTTTTAGGAACATGTTCACAGCGGTGCACATAAATCACATCAAACTCTCTCAAGCCCAGAAGCTTTATCATTTAAGGCAAAAAACTCGAGGTAAAGCTGGACTAATAATTAAAAATTATGCACTTAACGACCACAACTTTGAGCTGGCGAGGGACGCTTTAAAGACTCGATACGAGAATCGCAGGATTCTCGTCGACAACCAGCTCAAACCCCTTTTTAATATTCAACCCATTCATAGTGAAAATGGGGAAAAACTCAATGCAAATGGTGTATCCACAAAAGACTGGGACCCTATGCTAATATACCTCTGCTCCTCAAAACTCCCAGACGACACTCTTGGGTTATGGGAACAATCACTCAAATCAAGAAAGGAGTTGCCTCTCTGTAGAACGACTTAGTACGTATAGTCCAAATAAACCCAAAGGCTCTAACCAAAATTACCCTCCTCGCTCTTCAACCCCTAATAATAATAACTCCGTCAGCTATAAAAGCAGAACCCACTCATTTAACGCTGAGATAAAAAAGCAGGCATCTTGCAAATTATGCAACTCCAACCACTCTATGATGAACTGCGTCAAATTCAAGGAGCTCTCAGTGCAGGATTGCAACAAATTCATAAAGGATAGTCCCTATTGTAGGAACTGTTTAGCCTTCTCCTATTCAGAAACTGAGTGTCAATTTTACCTGTGTTTACTGCCAAAAACGGCATCACTCTCTTCTCCATTACCCCGCTAAATAACAAACAGCAAATACAGGCACAAGGCCAAAAACGAATCAGGCGCGACTTCCACCCCCAGCGAATAGTGACCCAAACAGAGCGTCAACCTCAAAATACGCTCAACAAAACCAAAATCACTCGTCCTCTCAACAAAACCAAACCCTCTCACACTTCGCGAGTAGTAGAGAAAAAACTCTTATAGATCAAGGGTCTCAGAAAACTTTCATAGCATTTCGCATACAAAAACTGCTTGGCCTCCCGACAAAGCCACTAATTATGAAATTATGGGAATGGGTGGCCGCGTAATGCAAAATGCGAACAAAATATGCGCTATTACCAATTGTTCTGCTGATGCAAGCATGAAAATAACCACAAACGCGATAATCCTCCCGCAACTCACTCATTTCTTGCCATCGTTCAAAGTTACATATATTGAACTGCAAGAATACTCATCTCTCCCTCTAGCAGATCCTAACCTGCTTTACTCCAGCTCGAATAGACATAGTATTAGGAAGCGATGTCGCGTGCTACCTATAGGCCTAAAAACCAATGTCGGTGGAAGCTTAATAGCCCAAAACTCAATATTTGGGTGGATTTTGAGGAGCCCAGTAACAGAGCACGTCTCATCATTCACGACCCAGGTAATTGAAAACACAGACACTCTCAACGATCTACTAAAGAAGTTCTGGGAACAGTAGGAAGTACCATCAAGCCCGACTCTCACCGACAACGATGTATTTTGCGAAAACCTCTATGAAAGGTCCACAGTTCGCAGAGATGACGGTCGTTACGTAGTAAAACTTCCCTTCAAAACTACCTTCCCAGACACGCTTGCACTTGGACACTCAAGACCTGCAGCTCAACAACAGTACCACAGTATCGAGCGGAGCATCGAAAGAAAACCTGAACTGCAGCAAACGTACACCAAAGTCTTGGAAGAGTATCTGACCCTAGATCACATGGAACCCACAGCATCGCAAGAGATTTTACGTGATGGAAATTATTTTTCTTTTTACTTACCCCACCACGCAGTTCTAAAGCCAGATAGTAAAACTATGACAGTGCGAGTAGTTTTCAACGCTTCCAAACTGTCTCACTCTAGCATTTCTCTAAACGATATCTTCCACACGGGCCCCGTACTTCAAAATGATTTAATGCTCGTTATCCTCAAATGGCGACTGTACAAATATGTTTTCAATGGTGACATTGAGAAAATGTACCGCCAGATTTACGTACACCCAGAGGAACAAGATTTCCAAAGAATCGTATTCCGTAGAACCCCTAAAAAGCTCGGTTGAAGATTTCAAATTAAAAACGGTGACTTTTGGTGTCAATTGCGCACGATATTTAGCTATAAGAATCCTGCACCAACTAGCTAAAGACTCACATGACAAACACCCAAAAGCCTCTAAGATTCTACTGAACGAAATTTACGTAGACGATATACTGTCAGGCGGACATGATCTCGACTCGGCACTCACTTCGATGAATGAGCTATTTGCAGCACTAAAATCAGCAGGTTTCCCATTAAAGAAAATGACGGCAAACCACAAAGGAATACTCCAAAATATACCCACATCTGATCGTGTAGAAGCAGACTTCCTCCAGTTCCAAGATTCCAGCTCCACAAAAACCCTCGGAATTAAATGGAATGCCCTTAATGATGAGTTTTCATACTCCATCGATCCTCTTCCAAACTCTAATGTAGCCACTAAAACACAAATTTTGTCGTCCGTTGCCAAACTCTTCGACCCGGCAGGGTGGCTGACGCCAATGATGATCCAAGCCAAAATGTTACTCCAACAACTCTGGATAGAAGGAATAGGCTGGGACGAAACCGTCAATCCCGGCGCGCTTCACAAATGGAAAGCATTTCAAGAAAACTTAATAGCCATCTGAGAACTCCGGATACCACGATGGGTTCAGTTTTCCCTTAATAAAAATATCCAACTCCACGGATTCTCAGACGCATCCGAAAAGGCCTTCTGCGCCTGTGTCTACCTCAGGGTGGACCACAGCGAGAATCAAGTATCCTCTCATTTGCACCCTTACAGAGAGTTAGTCTACCTCGCTTAGAACTCTATGGAGCAGTCATTCTCTTCAAACTAATCAAGCAAATTCGATCCCAACTCGATCTGCCATCACACGAACTCACATTCTGGTCAGATTCCTCTATCGTTTTGGCCTGGTTTGAAAAACCCCCATGTAAATAATGTATTTATTTGAAATTTTGTCCTCTACAACTTTGCCATTTAAATGTGCCACTTACTTCAAATAGAAATTGCTCAAAATTCGAAGAAAAAGCGCCACTTGCCTAATTTTGGGCATTTTTTGCATATTATTAGCAATAAATAATTGTTTAAAAGAATTTATAGGCACATGGAAATTGTAGGGAATCGAATTCTCAACAAATTTGTTTACCTTTTTTCGCGAGATGTGCAAAATTCTCGCGCAAATCGTAAAAAAACATAAAATCCAAGATGGCGGACACTTCCCATATCGCAATTGGGGGAAAAATTTTGATTTTGTGTTCACCTAAACAGGAGACACCTAACTGCGTCAAAAAATTTTTTCCCGGAATTTTTTCGTTGAAAAAATCTAAAATGATTGGGCTAAGTGACGAAACGACGAATTCGAAAAAATCCAGTAGAGTTCTTTTGTATAATACAGAAGTACAAAGTTCAAGATTTTCATTTATTTTGTATACAACGTTTTTACCTGAATGCATATGGTTTTCTACATGTTTAAATGTGCCGTGCACATATTAAATGTTAAGGCTCCGTTATGCATACTTGGCATTGCTTGAGAGTTGTCACATAAGGAATCTGTTAAATGAGCTTCGCGTGTAAGCGGTTACCCAACGCACAGCATTACATACGTAAAAGTCTGTTGGTTTTTGATTTCTACGTAAGAATGGTATAGCAGTGCATGCAATGCCAAGTATGCATAACAGAGCCTTTAGCATACTCCAACCAAATTCTGCACAGCTTATTTTTGAATCACATACACACATGCATATGTAAATATATATTTCAGTCTATTTTCATTGAAAACACCGCTTCGCATCATTCTGTGCGAACACCCGTAGCTTCACTTCTCTCTGCCTTGCTGCTCTATGCGCGCCAGCCGATTTCTGTGTGTACATTAGGGTGGTCTAAAAATGCATGTGAAAAAGTAAAGTCGGAATTTGTATGCTTTAAGGTTAAATAAACAATTGGGTATTATTATTGAAAGTATCCTGAAGAGAACCAGAGTTTTCCGATCGAAAAATATTGATTTTCAAGAATTCTATACCATTTCTACGAGAAATTTAATTTTTCCCAAATAAAAAAACATGGAATACTTTGAGCGCTTTGAGCGACCTCTAAATATTTTTTGATTTTAAAAAAATAGGGGTATACTTTTTCGATATAGAACAATCCTAGGGGGTGAGAGCATTACAATTCCGACTTTACTGTCTTTAGACCACCCTAGTGTACATACACTTAAAAATCTGTTTAGTGTAGTTAAATTTGTTCATTAGGCATATGACTTTTCAACTTTGTTTTGGAAAAATTAAATCTACATGGTATGATGCAATGAGTTTTTATAAGTGGGTATTTCCAAACTGGCGTTACGTGACGCTCGTATGACAAGATGTTAAAAAAAGAGAAAAAAAAGTCAAAATTTAAAAAGGGTTTTCTAGATTTGCATAGAAATTAAATAGCCCATTATTCAGTAAAACAAAATACAAATGTTGGTAGTAGCGACTTAAAAATATTTTCACTTCGATTACAAATTTGCAAAACTCTGCGAATTGAGCAAGGCTATTTGTTTAAAAGCTTTTGTAGTAATATTGGAAATGTTTAACGTTGATTTTCCATGTTTTGAAATGTAAAAATCTTGTCTGCTTTGTTTAATCAGCTGAATTATCTGGCGTGACGCTACCTGGCTACGCTACTAAAATTTACGTTACGTTACTACTACTAAAATTTCCATTGAAAAAGGTTTGTTAATACTGTTCTTGAAAGGATTTTTAACGGGGTGAGAACATGCATTTTATGTCGAACGTACTTTTTATTTTGACATCAGCGCCACCACCGGTTTAATTTTTTGCAAATCTATCTCCTACTACGATTTAACTAAATATGCCAAATGTGAAACAAATCGGAGCATAAATACGGTTTTTCAAAATATCTCGACCCTGGCGCCACCGAACGAGACCATTTTTGACAAAAATTCTTCTGCTTACATAACCAGTATCTTACTAATATTATAAATGTGAAAGTTTGTATGTTTGGATGTTT